TATTCTTACAACATTTCTTTGCCGTCATTTGTAAAACAACAGGGAGCCTAAGCAATGACGACTGCGACACCGAGGACAACGCCTGTAAAAAAATGAATTTATAGTTTACCTTCGAATTTCGCAAATGTCTAGATCTGTTCAGCGCGCCTTTTGGTTTCAGAACTTCCTCAAGCTTAATATGTAACGCTAGCGTTCAATTCCAAATAAAAATACGAAGAATTAGCCGCCGTCGTTTGCGTTCTCCAAATACGCAGAACTTGGTCATTTCACGTTGTTGCCAACAAACAAAAGGTTTAACGAGGAGAGCGATGGCTGTGCACGTGCGTTATAAATCTTTGTTCATTTCTTAGCCGTCCTCTGCAAAACAACAACGTGAAATGACTAAGTTCTGCATATTTTGGAGAACGCGAACGGCGGCGGCTAAGTTTTCGTATTTTAAGTGGAAATTCAACGCTGGCATTACACATTTAGCTTGAGTAAGTTCTGAGAGAGATAGGTGCACTGAACAAATCTACACATCTGCGAAATTCGAAGGTAAAATATAAACCATTTATCACTGGCCGTCGTCCCTGGCGTCGCCGTCGTCATTGCTTAAGGTCCCTAATTACCAGGAGGGGCTTCTTCGTCCCTGGCGTCGCCGTCGTCATTGCTTAACGTTCCTAATTACCGGTAGGGGCTTCTTTAACTGCATGGCAACAATGTAAGAACGTTATAGCAGTTAGTTAGTTCCAATAAACAATATTAGCATAACCCACTGGGTCGACTCTTAGGTTAACGTTACTCGAAATAGGGCTTGTCGTGATCACGCTACTAGAAGAAGTAACGACCTGTACCCACAAAAAAGCCTAAACACAACCTGGGAAAGAGAAGTTTTAAGTACGCAGGAACAATCTGTTTCAATGTTTCAATTTTTCACTCACCTGTATTAAATGTGCCCCGTCTTTGAGTAATTTTAAAAGATTGATAGTTAAGCATTTTAATTTGTTCTTAAGGTAATTCCTCTGAAATAAAAGTGACAATAGATTTTTGTTCAAACTTTGTCCACTGAACATTTGTCATATGATAACTTCAATTTTGAAATA